AGACACTATAGAGTCGGTTACCCAGATCAGCCTATTGTACCGATCCTGGGCCCGGCCTCTCCACTTTGCGGTAGGGGGCGTCGACGCCGGCGGAGGGGTGATAGTTGTTGTTGTTGGGGGCACCGATGTAGGAGGCAAAATAGGAATGCCCCTACCACGGCCAACGCCATCATGCCTTTGTTTGATCCTTTTATCCCCTTTAGGTTAAGGATCCTTAGCGTGACCTCGGCCACGATCTATCGATTTCGGCGGCACTAGGGCAGGCGACGGAGTAGGGAAAATAAAGGTTCTCCCTTGAGGAGGAGTGGGGAGAAAAGTTCTTCCTTGGGGAGGAGGAAGCATGTTGGAGCCAGACACTCGACCCCGCCCGACGGCGAGGGCTGCTCTCTGTTTGATGAGGTCGAGGGAGATACGGGGTTGGTCTGACATTGCGACTTCAAGTGTGCCCTCTTCGTCTAAATTTTTTGGATGCGTGCTTCAACGTGGATTGTGGTAGAAGGATCCCAAATTTCCACCACCTCATCAGCAGCGGCCTCTAACTCGACTTCGGTAGCCTTATCGGGGTCTTCTTGCAAGTTTTCCTTGAAGAGCTCTGACCACTTTGAGGGATTGAATGGTTAGAGATTCTATAAGTACTTCTTGTACCCCGGGGTATAGTCTAGTCTAGGAGAACATGAGCAGCTCGGCCAAATTCGTTGTCGAAGTACCCCTAGACGGTGATGATATCCTCAAAGTTGACTAGGTGCCGAGGTAGTGGTGCAGACTCGGCATTAAAGACTCCTACACAGAAGGAAAATAACATCAAAACGTGAGCAAAATTTATCAAGGCAAAGAAAGCTGAGAAGAGAAAGGGAGAAGCCGACGTACTTATCGTTCGCCACTCCTTGGGGAACCACAAGCCCTCGTACTTGGGACCAAAACCCCTCTCCCAGTCATCGCTAAAGATTAGCAGATCGACCTTGTACCTCTTGTCCGAGTCCTGGAAGTGTGTCACAAGGTACATGGAGGGATCTTGGGCTTTCAGGTAGAAGTTTTACCGGGGTATTACCCTCAACAAGGTGTAGCAGAAAAGGATGTCCTCAAAGCCAAGGTTGACCCCAAGGCATTTGTTTCAGACCACCACTCCCATGATGATCCTAAATATGTTGAGGCAGCACTACCCCAAGAAGAGATGAAATAAGGATAGAAAATGGAAGAGGAGAAGATGGAGGGGGAATCTGATTCCACCCTCCATAACAGCTTTGGTATAGAAGGGCATGGCGTCCTCGGTGCCCGCGTCGATGTGGTAACATCTTGGGACAAACTCGTCCATGCCGACACTATGAGAAATGGAATAGTGGGTTCTGAAATTGGTGATTTGCTGGCGGCCTTTGACAGTGTACTTCCTCAGCCTAAAGGGGACCAGCCTCCTCGACCTCAATGGCAGTACGACGGCATCTTGACATTTTAAAGGATGGAAAAGGAACACATGGAGGAAGTTTTCTCTAAGGCTGGGAATCCTAATGGACACTACAAAAGACCCAATGACTCAAGGAAACAAGGGACAACACCAGAATGGACTCAATAGGGAGAATAGCTACTAGAAATGAAAAGAAAACAAAGAGAGAAAAAAGGAATAATGGGACAAGTGTACTCACCAAAGACAGAGGATGTAGGTACGAAGGCTGGAGGCTTTCTCCTTTGGCTGTTTCTAAAGAAAAAATGGTAGATGATTCAGGCAAGCAAGGTCTCCGATAGAACTTCGGCAAAGGCTCTCTAATTTGGCTGTTTTTGAAGAAAAATCGGTAGATGATTCAGGCAGGCAAGGTCTCCTATAGAACTCTAGTAAAGGCTCTCTGATTTGGCTGAGTATTCAAAATGGTGAAGGACAAGCGAGACTCTGTTTATATAAGAGTCAGTTGCCATGATTGCACACGACAAGTAAGGAGATGTGCTTTCAATGGGCACGATCCTCAACGAACTGAAAGCAGCTGCACAATAATGGAGTGGTTGAGCCCTTTCATCTTTTGACGACACGTCACCCACGCCGTACAAAGATCAAGGGCTAGGGGACAGTTGATGGGATGCTTCTGAGAAAGAACAGGGAGTTGACACGTGTCCTCGGCACCGAGGACACCTCCAGCATCCTAATGAAGACACATGTCCTCGGCACCGAAGACAACTTTAGCATCTTGGTAAGTACACGTGTCCTCAGCACCAAGGACATCTCCAGCATCCTAATGAAGACACGTGGTCTCGGCACCAAGGACACCTCCAGCATCCTAATGAAGACACCTGTCCTTGGCACCGCCATCCTCTACTTATATGCGTTTGACACGTGTCATCGGCGTATTAGCTCTCGGAGCACAGAGACTTTGACATGTGTCGTCAACATTACTAAATCCCGAGGTCTGTTTTCAGACACGTCACATCGGCCATAAGACAGATAATTGATGGTTGAATCCTATCGAAATCAGAGTTAAGCAATGAATCATTACACTTGCTTTCCCAAAGGAGTCAAAATGGCAGAAGAGACATGACCAGCGATCAAAGGGAATTGGACACGTGACACAAAGTACAGAATTGGAGGCCAATGGAAAAGAATGGAAGGGCATTAAGCAGGACTGAGCACCTCCCAAATGATTTAATGGTGGATTTGAGTGCCATGGTGGAAGGGCATTATGTGCTCAGGGGACTGAGCATTTAAGGCTGATTGACTTCTCAAATGAGACAAGAGGTGTTCTACCCAAGGACTGTTCACCCCCACCTACTACCTCCCAGATGGGCTAATGGGGTCTCTCCTTAGAGGGATCCACCTGACTGCAATAATGACCTACACGAAAGGTGTAAATAGTTACAAAAAACTAAAGACAGGAATACGCAATTTCATTCTAGAACACTAACAGTGCATTTTTCCCTTCCTCTCTCTCACACTGACTTGATTGTCAGAGTGGTTACGCTGAAAAACACTCAGACGCTCTTCTAACTCTCTTTTCTAAGTGGCAGATTCCTCCTCAACTTGCTGGAATCGCGTGGACAGCTGAAAAGACAATTCATTACCACTCCTTAGGAGCTTTATCACTCTTTTTTGCCCAGGGATCCTTGACTTTCAAGTAAGGTTTGTGTTCATCATAGGAGAGACCTGTCCCTTCTATTTATTGTGCAAAAATTACCACGCACAAAATTCTTGATTAATTGGGGAACTTTTCTCGCAAATCTTTCTTAAAGATTCTAAGTCTTCCATTTTTGAACACCCTTTCTTGATTTGGAAGGCTATAGTGCCCATTAAACTGCGAGTGTTTAAATGGACTATTGCTTGTAGAAGAGACATACGTATGATTTGATTCAAAGGAGAAGGCCAAATAGTTGCTTCTCACTGGGCGTAGTATGTGTAGGAGACCAGCCAACAAAGGATATAGCTAAGAATTTAAGGATTCTTACTGACCAGCGATTAGAAAATGATCAAAGTCAGGTCAAACCCAACCGTGAGAAATAACAAGATAATCGAGAGTGGGTATGATTCTTGATAAAATCTTCGTTTTAGTCTTAAAATTAATCAAAAATCTAAATAGTCGGCATTACACTTACCTGAATCAGTAATCCCACTCTTCAGTGAGCCACGTATTAGAATCAAGTTGCCATTGTTGTTGAAGGTGTCATTGTCTTTGCTGATGCTGTGAGGAGAGAACCAACCTCTGGCCAAGTTGTTGCTGGAGATCTACCGATCTCACCTCAGAGATACAATGAGTTTTCAAGTACGTGGTCATTCCAACTAAAGTATCTCCTCCATTTACATCCACTGGACAGTTCATATCTGTCCATTTACATCCATTTGGCCAAAATAGGGTGTGTACAATAGGGCGTGTATCCTAGACTGTCCCACAATTCATAGACCAGAGAAGAATCACTCTCTATCATTTGCCAATCGCCGGAGGATCTAATTTTAACACATCTTAATTTCAAGCACACAAAACAATAGAGACCGACTTAGAAAGACAAGTGGCCTAGAAGAACAAGAGAGAATCACAAAGAAGAATTAGGTTTTGAAGAAATGAGACCGAAAAAATTAATGCATTTCTTTAGAGAAGGAAGGATGCACTTTTGGGAAGANGTGAGTTTTCAAGTACGTGGTCATTCCAACTAAAGTATCTCCTCCATTTACATCCACTGGACAGTTCATATTTGTCCATTTACATCCATTTGGCCAAAATAGGGTGTGTACAATGGGGCGTGTATCCTAGACTGTCCCACAATTCATAGACCAGAGAAGAATCACTCTCTATCATTTGCCAATCTCCGGAGGATCTAATTTTAACACATCTTAATTTCAAGCACACAAAACAATAGAGACCGACATAGAAAGACAAGTGGCCTAGAAGAACAAGAGAGAATCACAAAGAAGAATTAGGTTTTGAAGAAACGAGACCGAAAAAATTAATGCATTTCTTTAGAGAAGGAAGGATGCACTTTTGGGAAGAAGGATAATTTTGGCATTTACTAAATTTTAGTATCGCGATACAGAAGCCTAATTAGGGAGTACCAATAGTTCTAGGCTTCCAAAAAAAAACAAGATAAAAAGAAACAGTACAACACAAAAGCCAAAACGACTGTAATTGCTATATGGGATAATAGTATAAATATCTNGGGGAGTACCAATAATTCTAGGCTTCCAAAAAAAAACAAAATAAAAAGAAACAGGACAACACAAAAGCCAAAACGACTGTAATTGCTATATGGGATAATAGTATAAATATCTTCTCCATTGCAAAATTTCTTCACCCTTGTCAGGAAATGCAGGCAATTTGCTAGCAAACTAGGAATCATACAAACGGGAAAAAAAAAGGAGAGAAAATACAGCTCAATTGTAAATACAAGTATCCTCCTATGTTACGCAGGGAATGCTGCTTCCATGGTTTCAGGTTTGCCTGGCACCTAGACATCCACCACAGCAACTGCAAAGCTGGCAAAAAGCTGGTACGATAAACTCAAGCAATCACGATAACACACCACAGAGTATACTATCACGATGCTCTGAAGCTCTCTGATAAATACTGGTAGTACTGTTGTTGCTGCACCCACCATCCAAAATAAACGTGATAGAAAAATTTTTGGTGAGGGTCGCACAGAGAGAAATGACAAAGCAGAGTAACCCATACCTTGTCTGAGACAGATGGGGAGATTTTTCCCAACGCCAGCTCAAAATGTGATGCTTTGATAGTCCATGGTGTGCCATCTGAACTGCTCTGCCCTGATGTCAGTCTCTCTTCTAGAGCAGCCATGGCCGCTTCATTCATCTAGCATTGAATTGAAAAGAAAATGCCAGTTAGGTCAATCCAAACAACAAGCCACACAGAAAGCATGGGTATGCAAACATAGAAGGTGAGGTGTGAGCAAGCAATGGAAAAAGATTTAAGGATCATAGACAAAACCAGGGCAGCAAGGTCAGCTCCACTTAGGTTTTTGCAAGCCTCATTCCTTCCAATGGCAATCAAGTCAACACTGGCATCTATAGGCTTCTTCCTAGCAAGAGCTTTTAAGATCAACCCGCGCTCATCAGGACTCGGCAGAGAAACATATAGAAGTTTCCCAAACCGTCCAGGTCGTAAGACAGCTCGGTCCATCACCTCAGGCCTGGCAATGTCTTAGCAAGATTAGAGAAAGATGACACTGCAGAAGATAATAGTAACATTGACCAGAACAGAATTGAAGGAAAGAAAACCGAGGATCATGAGTTGCACCTATTTGTTGCACCAATTACATAAACACCACGTCGCTGATCTGCACCATCTAGTTCTATCAGGAGCTGAAACAATTAGAAATGGACTTTGAACCATATTAAATTGAAAAATTTAACAAAAGAAATACAATTAGGCAAGATGAGCAAGTTCCAGATACTCTTTTAATTTATTTAACCTGGTTCAAAAGACGCTCAACAACCCATCCACCTTCTTTTCCACGCTTTGTTGTCAAAGCATCTACCTGGAAAAAAAAATGAAGCGTTAGCATCAAAGCACATTACATATTTAGGATCCTCAACATCACCCCTGTAAGAGCATTTCTAAATTATCATCCTGCCAAGGTCAAGGCTATAAAACTCCTCAAACCACATAATGATGGCAACCTCAAATACAGGAAACTTGATTATGATTCTTCNAAAAAAAAAATTAAGCGTTAGCATCAAAGCACATTACATATTTAGGATCCTCAACATCACCCCTCTAAGAGCATTTCTAAATTATCATCCTGCCAAGGTCAAGGCTATAAAACTCCTCAAACCACATAATGATGGCAACCTCAAATACAGGAAACTTGATTATGATTCTTCTCCTATCCGAAGAAAAAGAAGGAAAAATCTCCCCAGCCTACTGTTATACAGTCAGGAATATCCCTTGTTGAACCAGATTAATAACACCCGATTGTTTTAACTGTATATCACCCAGCCGCTGGGAAAAAAACAAGAAAAAGAAAAAGGAATGTCAGCATGCCTACTCTACGCCATTCTCTTCCAAACAGAAGAGACAGAGACAGANAGAAGGAAAAATCTCCCCAGCCTACTGTTATACAGTCAGGAATATCCCTTGTTGAACCAGATTAAGAACACCCGATTGTTTTAACTGTATGTCACCCAGCCGCTGGGAAAAAAACAAGAAAAAGAAAAAGGAATGTCAGCATGCCTACTCTACGCCATTCTCTTCCAAACAGAAGAGACAGAGACAGAGACAGAGACAGAGAGACAAAACTTTTATCTCACCTATTTGGGGTTGACCATATGAAACCCGCTTTTCCATTGTGCTAGATCAAGGCAACTCCTTTTGATTCTAAAATTTCTCACCAAACTTCTAGTGTGTTGTTAATTCCTACTTTGGTTTCTTAAATCAGGACTATATCATCGGCAAATAATATATACACGGAACCTCATTTTGAATGTGTCTAGTAAATTCATCCATTATCAAGGCAAAGGGATATACGCTCAAGGAAAAACCCCGAGTTAGGCCTATAGTGATTGGGAATTCACCATTTTCACTGCACTAAAGTCAGTGCACCTTCATACATATCCTTAGTCATATCAATATATTTGTAACCCTCTTCTTCTATAAAACTCGTAATATTATGTATTGAAGGGCTCTATCATTTGTCTTTTCTAAGTCAACTGACAACTAATATAAAATATTAACAATCAAGTGCCGCCCTGGCGGATAGAGTTCTCTTGGGCAACAGCAATGGAGCAGTTATCTTCCGCATTGGCTAATTGACTGCTCTGGTGAACAGCATTTCAGAGACACTACACTTGGCTGAGACACCATTCTGGGCTTAAAGTGCATACACAGTGATATGATGAAGGAAAAACAAGCAAAGTAGGAATACAATTATAGGCTTGATTGACATTTTTTTCCCCAATTAACAAGTCATGAAGCGGGTGTATAAATTTCCAAGTAACCAGAATTCTTAGAAATTTTCTGACTTAAATTTTAACAATCTAAATTTTGAACAAATTATCAATTNAATTAAAAAGTCATGAAGCGGGTGTATAAATTTCCAAGTAACCAGAATTCTTAGAAATTTTCTGACTTAAATTTTAAAAATCTAAATTTTGAACAAATTATCAATTTTTTTTTATTTTTTTTTTTTTTGTGTTAACAGATTATGAAGTTGCTAAACCATGTTTTACGCATACTAAATAACATGTTTGTTCAAAATAAAAGAATTGCATGTAAAGAGAAGAAACAATATCAGATCCTCCGTAAAGGCGCAAACTTAATATTTTTCATAAGTTAAATGAGATAATCCAATGCACACATCATTTCTCAATATGAATTAGAGTTCCACCTGTCCCTCTCTCCTAATTATTGGATACAATCAACTTCACGTGTAGGGTATTTTATCACAGAAGGACAACCCTAGTGTACTAACATCTTCAACAATCTAGTAGAAATAATATGTTGAATTGGCTAGTTAGTTTAGAAACAACCAGCATGTTTGATTCTCGCAGAAAAATTTCNTAATATTAAGCCAGGAACAATACAATTATTACCACAGTTCCATGGTCTAGAAACTGAAAACTCTTATCTTCATATGAAAGAATTTGAAAAAGTCTGTGGAACATTGCAAGATAATTCTGAAATGGNGACAAGATCGCCATAATTTTTTTTCTTTCAAAAAGAACAATTTCTAATTCAGTCTCTACCCTCCTTAGTCCATTCCAGAATCCTCTGCATGATTTTCAAGAAGTGAAAAAGAAAAAATAGGACAAAGGAGTGTAGGATTGGTATAGGTCGCAAGCGGGCTGCACCAGTTCTCAACTCCACCGGAGAAGGAATTGGGCCCGTGTTGATGATCTTGCAGTTGATTCAAGATCTGGTTGATTCACCCCCATTTAACTAGTGTCAAAATCAGTCTGAAATTCGAAATGATGGCACAGCACAAGCCTTGTACTATTATTAACTCCATAACCATTTGTAAAAGATATCACCATTGCCACAACAAACGCAATACCACTACTGCTTCAGCTAATATATTTTTCTTTCTTCATACGTTTTTGAAGGTGTCATTCTTTTCCTAGTCTAACAATACTGGATGGCAAGTACAAATAAATTATTTCTTAATCTCTGAAGGGAATACTTCCTCAATTGAAGAGCCTTCTCCAAACTGGAAATGGTCTCCACTGTGACAGATAGGGGAGGAACCATTGGTCAATTTTAGATGTCAGCTGTGAGTCGTGACATTCAATGGCACTTTGGGGCCCTTGATTTAATATTATGCTAGTTAGTTGGATTTTGGGCTGCGAACATTCATGGAAAAGATTCAAATTACTAGATTAGTCTGATGGCAATCTTCTAACAATAACCCTATGAAGCACTACTATACATACAGGTATCATAAGATATGGATACAATGATATGGCAAAACCCAAAAAAAAAAAAAAAAAAAAAGNAATGGACCTTAGTTGATTTTTTCTATAATGTTGTTCCACCTGCAATGCGAAAATTTGTTGAAATAATGGTGCAAGAAAAAATTATGAGTAAAAATCTTGAAAAAACATTTTAATTTTTTGATACTATTTCTGAAAGTTCCCAGATGTGAGACTCAACTTCTTCAAACATAATAGAAACTAAGTCATCTACATTCGAAAGAGGAAAATATGTGTTAAAAGAATATGATAATTTAAGAGCGAAAATGACAAGTTTATCTCGAAAACTAGAAGATTTAGAGATGAAAAAAATTAANCAGCAGCTCGTCAGCTACCTACCCGCCCACTACACGCGAGCACGTCAGGGGCCCACACTCGATCCAGGCGAGAGTCGGCTCTAATACCAACTTGTAACACCCCCCTCCACATGGCATAATATTGTCTGCTTTGGACCCACTAGCCCTCACGGCTTTGTTCCTCCTAGTATTCCTGGGAAAATGTCTTATGCCATGTAANCAATTAAAGAAGTGTTAATTAAGCAATCTAATGACATTTCAACTTATAATAATAAGCCTTATTTAAATCCATATTCTGAAACTTACAACCCAGGNACCCACTAGCCCTCACGGCTTTGTTCCTCCTAGTATTCCTGGGAAAATGTCTTATGCCATGTAAGGTAGGGGGTTTACTAATAAGCCCAATCACTTTCCCCTCCCTAACCGATGTGGGACACTAAAATCTCACAATCCACCCCCCTTAGGGCTGGATGTCCCCGTACAGCAGCTCGCCAGCTNTATATTTTATATTTTCACTAATAACAATACAAAAAATTAGCAACCTTCACTATCAAAGACAAGACGTCTATATCGTCTCATTATGGTATATCAACAAAGTAATAGTGACTACTTAAAGGAATCGGAGCTACCATTTAACTAGTTAATTTGTTTAAAAGTATTTGTTACCAAGAGATCTACAGAAGAAACACCCATGAGTCTTCATAAATTATTGAATTTTCTTTTGTTTGCTTTGCATGTCAAATCAAAGACGAAAGGGTAAAGATTCGTATACAAAATTTTACATATTGCTCTGTATATTTACTTCCATTTCCAAAGCATATTCATATTGGATGCATATCTGTGAAGTATTCAGATATTTTATTTATTATTGGATACATGTGGTGTGCGACTACATATCTTTGAATATCCAACAAGTATTGTGTTTGATGTGCTATTCAATGCGGATGAGTCAACTTTAACGGATTATCCGTAATTCATTGCTAGAAACCAATCAAAATATAAAAAAGGCACAAAACAAGTTAATGAGTATTAGACAACAAATAGTTAATTTTAACAATAGACGTTATAATGTAAGGGATACTAACAATAACCGATATAATCACAGATTGGAGATTAAGAAGCACCTCATCAAAGAAAAGTATGCATGGAGAACATGTCCTTGCACGACTAAATATTGTCCGAACCGCCAACTCACTTTCACCAACATATTTATTCAGAAGTTCAGGGCCCTTGAAGGAAAAAAAATAAAAAAATTGATGTACTGTAGCAGAGGAAAGCATCATCTGAAAACAAAAAAATTGGAAAATAAAAATAGAGGTACAAACCTTGATGTGTATGAAATTTGCTCCTGCTTCATTAGCAACAGCCTTTGCAATCAATGTTTTGCCACAGCCAGGAGGCCCATAAAGCAAAAATCCTGTCTCTAAATCCACTCCAAATTCCTGAGCATACCAACTATCTTTTAGAAGCCCGAATTCACATTGTCATAATCAGCTGTGCAAACCACATAGACCAAAGACTCCTGACAAGACTCCCTAAAATAGAAAAACGTTTTATATGCACTAATTGACTACAAATTCTTTTTTCAAAGGAATTGACTACAAATTAAAGGAATGTGAAGACGAGAAGAATCCAACGAAAAGAAACGGTTGAACAAATGAACAACCTCATGTGAAACAAAGCTTCAACGTACTAAGGAGTCAATGACAGTGACACCTGTAACACCCCCTCCACATGGCATAATATTGTCCACTTTGAGCCCACTGGCCCTCACGGCTTTGTTCCTCCCAGTATTCCTGGGAAAAGGCCTTATGCCATGTAAGGCACAGGACTTACTAATAACCCAGTCACTTTCTCCTCCCTAACCGATGTGGGAGACCAGGATCTCACAATCCACCCCCCTTAGGGCTGCACGTCCCCGTGAAGCAACTCGCCAGCTACCTACCCACCCACTACACGCGAGCACGTCAGGGGCCCACACTCAATCCAGGCGAGAGTCGGCTCTAATACCAACTTGTAACACCCCCCTCCACATGACATAATATTGTCCACTTTGGACCCACTAACCCTCACGGCTTTGTTCCTCCCAATATTCCTGGGAAAAGGTCTTATGCCATGTAAGGCAGGGGGTTTACTAATAAGCCCAGTCACTTTCCCCTCCCTAACCGATGTGGGACACTAGAATCTCACAATCCACCCCCCTTAGGGCTGGATGTCCCCGTACAGCAGCTCGCCAGCTACCTACCCTCCCACTACACGTGAGCACGTCAGGGGCCCACACTCGATCCAGGCGAGAGTCAGCTCTGATACCAACTTGTAACACCCCCCTCCACATGGCATAATATTGTCCGCTTTGGGCCCACTAGCCCTCACGGCTTTGTTCCTCCCAGTATTCCTAGAAAAAGGTCTTATGCCATGTAAGATAAGAGGTTTACTAATAAGCCCAGTCGCTTTCCCCTCCCAAACTGATGTGGGACACCAGAATCTCACAACACCCGTCCATTCTTTTCATATCCCCTTAATACTACCTTGACATTCATATTATACATGACATTAGTAAGTAGAATAACCTCATAATCTTCTGGAAACTTTATGCGCCTAACAATGTATCGGTCAAACTCCTGCCTCAAGAACTCAAGACCTCCAACATCTTCCCATTTTACATTCGGAACAGCAGAGAACCCTTCTCTTCTAGAAGAGGGTTGAACCATTTTAGCTGCTTCCTACAAAAAAAAATACATTAAAAGTTATTGGCACACTGTATTTACTGAATAAATAATTTTTAGACGGATTAGAAATTTCATCAAGAATAGGAAAATCAAGAAGTCCCAAGCTTGATCTCAGACAAGATGGAAGCATGCTACACCCCACTGACTCATCAAATGTTACCATCGATATGTAATGTTCCTATGGTAATGTCCACAGCACACAGGACAACCTCAAGGGCGGCTCAAGTCAATTTGACACCTAAAGCAAAAATATTAAATGAATGTCTTTTTATTTTTATTATTATTTCTTAAAAAAAATTAATTTATTTTTAATTTTTTATGTGAGAGGGAGATAGAAGAAGAATGTGTTAATGTTGTCGAGAAAGAGATTTCAACTTTTATTTTTGTTTTTTACCGCAAAGAGGGAGAAAGTGTTTAATTTTAACTTTTGTTTTTGTTTGTATTTTTTTTTACCAGAGAGAGAGAGAGTAAATATGAGTTGACTTTTGAGTATTTTTTTTATTTTTAGGTTTTTAATGTTATAAATTAAATTATAGACCCAAATTATTGCAATAAAAATTTTGATTGGATTTAATTTTTTGGGAATTTTTTGTAAGGCTTAAAATTTAATAGATATAATTTTTTTTTATGAGCTAGTGATGTACCTAAAATTATGGAGCCTTCTAAAAATTTGAGGCCTAAAGCCTATGTTTTTTTTTTCTGTATTATTGGGCCAGCCCTGGACAACCCCAAACCCCCCCCCCCCTTTTTCTTTCTCTTTCTTATTACTTTGAGCCATAATAAACCTTCCCAAACTTTTTGAATCCAATATGAGCAATTATCTTCCTGAAATTCTAACCCTCCAATCAAAGAAAAACCAGCCTACCAGATCTGCACTAAAGATGTCCCACATCAGGATGCCATTGGCTAATTTCACAAAGAAACACAACTGCTAATATATGAGTTATGAGTCAGACTTGCAAATAAATCAACAAAAACAAAGTTAGAAAAATGTTGCCAGATACATCTGGGAAAGGGGGAAAACTGAAAAACAACATGTAAACAGCAAGATTTACAAGTTCCAAAGGGCAAACAGTGTTTTTCTCCTGGTTACCTCAAAATCAGCCATAGTAATGCGAAGCTTTTCCATCTCCTCAGATGACCATGGATGCTTCCACCATTCTTCGCTATGTTCCCCATCTACAAATTCTCTAGAAAGTTCAAACTTCCTCTGGTCTATAATTCTCTTCATAGCAAGGTTACCAGCCTTGTTAGCTAGTGCTGCCAAGTCAGCTCCAACAAAACCTGGGGTGGATCTAGCTATTTTCACAAGATCAAAAGAACCTTCAACTTTAAGATTGCTGGTTAGGACAGAAAGAATCTCAACCCTTGCATTTTCGTCTGGAACACCTAAAACAATCTCACGATCAAATCGCCCAGGCCTCCTTAATGCAGGGTCCACAGCATCAGGCCTATTGGTAGCTCCAATAACTAGGACATAGCCAGGTCTGCAATCAGAACTCCCAAGATTTCCATCTACAACAGCTGGTTGTGCAAGTCTATGTGATTCATCCATGCAAGTCATCAATTGTGTCACAATCCGTCGCTCCATCTCCCTCTGCAGATTTTCTCGTTTAGAAGCAATCGCATCAATCTCGTCAATAAACACAATAGATGGAGCTGTCCTGTATGCTTTCGAGAACAACTCCCGGATGTTCTCTTCTGATGCACCTGAAAAGTAACCACATGATAAGCCTTTTTAGCAAACTTCACAAAAATGAGGATGAGTACATGGAATGTGGGATTCTGGGAGATCACTAGATGGTTCTGTGAATCCCTGCAACGACTGGCTGGGTCAATCATCACCATATGCACTAAAACATTCAAAATAGTCTTTAGCCAACAAAGAATTTGAGTGTCCAAGACTCTAGACACCAAGAACATTCATGATGATTAAAACAGAATTCTGTCATACAGGTAACGAAAGTCCATAATTACACAATAACCCACTTATAATAATGTTTGGATTTCATATATGAAAATTCATGAAAAATACTGAAAAAATGAAGCCATGTAAATTAAGTATACCTGAAATTCCAGACACCAATTCAGTAGCCGAAATCTTATAAAACGGAACTCCAGTCTCATTCGCAATTGCATGAGCCAGCTTCGTCTTTCCACACCCTGGCGGTCCATGCAACAAAATCCCGGCCATTGGCCTTACTCCAAGCCACTGTGGCAATTGCGGATGGTAAAGAGGAACAATCACCTCCATCTTCAACTCCTCAACCACCCCACTCATCCCTCCTAGGTCCCTAAACCTCGGCGCGTCCTTCTCCTCCTTCACTTCAGCCCCACCATCCCCAAACCTTTTAGCTTCAATTTTATCTACTTTCATCAAATCAACCTTATTAGTTCCCTTGTTGTTATTAACAACCTCCAATTCAACATTCTTTTCAGGTTTTGATTCTATAGCGTTCTTTGGTTCACTGTAACGCGCCCGAAGCATAGACTTCATCAAATCGAACTCCGGCTCGAATTTCTCTCCATAAACCGCATCCTCCGATGTCGAAACGGCACCGTTCGCTTCTTCTTCCTCTCCGGACGATGCCGAAGATGTGGAATCTGAAAACGACGACGTAGAAAGATCTTTTTGCTTCCTACGAATGTGTTGGACCTCCATACGCTGCAATCTCTCTTCATTTTTGTCAACTCTCTTCATTTTCTTACGGGCCGGGCTCACGAATGTAGTGGAGGTATAACCACTGCCACCGTCGTCATCATCATCGTTGATGTTCGAAGTGGATGGACGGTCACGATTGCTCTTCGATTTAGCGGTGTTGACGAGCAGTAGGGTTTTTTGGACGTGTCTGGTGAAGGGTTGGAGCTTGTGGCGCCCGTACTCTGGGAAAGTTGAGCGAAGGTAATCAACGAGTTGATCGACGGCGGTGTAATTGTTGCTACGGCGGTATTCTTCGATGCGACGGCGGAGGATTCGTTCGAATATCGACGGTGACCTACCTCCTCCTCCTCCACCGCCTCCGCCCCCGCCGCCGCCTGATTTTCTTCTTCCTATTTTCATCTCTCTTTAGTTTCGCTCTGTTCTACAATTTTTAGCTCAATAGCAGTGAACACTCTCGAAGAGAGAGATAGAATGAGGGTTCTAAACTCTAAAGTATGTAATTTGTGTTTAAGCTCTCTCGAAGAGAGAGATANAACAAGATGGAAGCATGCTACACCCCACTGACTCATCAAATGTTACTATCGATGTGTAATGTTCCTATGGTAATGTCCACAGCACACAGGACAACCTCAAGGGCGGCTCAAGTCAATTTGACACCTAAAGCAAAAATATTAAATGAATGTCTTTNGAGAGAGAGAGATATATGAGGGTAAAGTATGTAATTTGTGTTTTAATGGTCCCTTCCACGTAATTATACCATTTAAAATAACCACACTCGATCATTTCTGTCAAATACCTCTGACATCTCCGATCATGATTTAAATTTTTACTTAAATTTAAAATAATATTTGAGTAAAAAATTTAATTTGATATAAAAAACTCTAATANAAGAGAGAGGGATATATGAGGGTAAAGTATGTAATTTGTGTTTTAATGGTCCCTTCCACGTAATTATACCATTTAAACTAACGACACTCGATCATTTCTGTCAAATAGCTTTGACATCTCCGATCAGGACTCAAATTTTTATTTAAATTTAAAATAATATTTGAGTAAAAAATTTAATTTGATATAAAAAACTCTAATAGATAAACTCAAATTTAAAGAAGAAATACCTGAATTTAAATAAAGATAAACTTAAAATAAAAAAGAGTACAGATGACCATTGAATATTTAAAAGATGGTAAAATTTCATCATTAAAAATTTGATTAAAGATTTGAGTTTTCCTTAATTTGAATAAAAAAATGAGTTTATCTTAATTTGGTATAAGTTTGAATTAAGGGTNGGATAAACTCAAAATAAAAAGGAGTACAGATGACCATTGAATATTTAAAAGATGGTAAAATCTCATCATTAAAAATTTGATTAAAGATTTGAGTTTTCCTTAATTTGAATAAAAAAATGAGTTTATCTTAATTTGGTATAAGTTTGAATTAAGGGTTGGAATAAATTTTTTAAACTTTTTAACTCAAATTTAAATTTGACTCTAAATTTAAGTAAGGGTTGAAAATGCCCTTAAAGAGTAGTTTGTCCATAAATTATTTAAACTCAAACTGAATATTTTAGAAACAAATTTGAGAAAATTGATGCATTAAAGGCCAAATTGAAAAAACGAATGTATTTTAAACATAAAAAAGTGATATTAATTCTCACAATTTAAAATTTTTATTACTTTTGATGTTGGGCACATAACCTAACCACATTATAACTCTTTATTTGCGGGAATTTGCATTTTAAGAGTGAACTTTTCGTATTTTTGTATTCTCATTTTATCAAATTTGTAAATTTATGCTCTCACTTATTTATATACTAGTTATTGTCCGTNTTTTTGATGTTGGGCACATAACCTAACCACATTATAACTCTTTATAGCGGGAATTTGCATTTTAAGAGTGAACTTTTCATATTTTTGTATTCTCATTTTTATCAAATTTGTAAATTTATGCTCTCACTTATTTATATACTAGTTATTGTCCGTATTTGAAGGCACAAAGTAATAAAAAATAGTTAATAATAAATATATTTGTATTCACATTCAAATTCAAGTCACAAATATAGATGAAAGAGAAAATAATTTAAACACCGATTGTAGTGGGAGTGAGCGGTGGTGGGAGACGGTGATGGTTATGGTGGGTAGTGTCGATTGTGGTGGTTGTGGGTTTTGGGTGACGATGATGATAGTAGCATTCATGGGTGACAGCGGTGGTGATGGTTGAGCAACGGTGATGGTGGTTGGCAATGGTGGTGATAAGGCAATGATAGTGGTGGGGCGACGACGGTGATGGGCAATGACAATAGTGGTGATGGGCGACGAATGGTATTTTCTAGGCGACAGTGTGATGGGTGGTTGTGAATGATAGTGGTAGTGGTAGGTGTACTAAAGGTGGGTGGCGGTAATGGTGGGTGATGACGGGTGGTGGTGGTTGGTGGTGATAAGTGTGCTAGGAGTGGGTGACAATGGCTAGCGACGATGGTGAGCGAAAACAGGTGGTGGTGGGTTATGGTAATGGGTGACGGTGGGTAGTGGTGGGCAATAATGATAGTGGTGAGTGCTAACAATGGGCAACGGTGATAATGAGATGATGGTGGTAGTGGTAGTAAATATAAAAATGAGATAACAATGGTGGTAGGTGGTGACAGTGGACGACAGTAGTAGCAATCGGTGATGGGTGGCAATGGTGGTGGTGGGCGTGAGGTAGGGGTGGAGGTGAGGCAATGATAGTGGTGGAGGGTGGCGGCAGTGGTGGTGGTGGTAGGAGTGATAGTAGTGGGGGTAAAAGTGGCGGTAGTGGTGGTGGTGGGAGTGACGACAATGGTGATGATAGGTTGGCGATAGTAATGATGGCGGTGGTGGTAGAGTGGTGGTAACGATAGTGGGGGTGGGGGTGGTGATAGTGTGGATGGTGGTGGTAGGGCAGAGGTGGTAATTGGGTGGCAAGGGTGATGGTGGTGGTAGTTGTGGTGGAGGGGGTGAGGATGGTGGTGGTGTAGTAGTTTCAAATATTACTTTTTTTTTTTAAAATACTTATAAAAAGTTATAAATTTTATGAGTACTTTTAAAAGGTTATCACAAACACACTTTTAGGGTTCTATTTTTCCTATTAAATTTAGAATGTTAATATTAACCGTCAGATTAACTTTAACGTAAAATTTAAAGAGATCTTAATCTCTAAAAATAAAATTTATTTTATTTATCTTTTTAAAATTTGCATTTTATTATACTTTATTATTATTACTAGTTATTATCTGTACCTAAAGATACTGAGTAATAAAAAAATGGTCAATAATAAACATATTTGTATCACACCCAAAATCAAATTATAAATATAGAGTAAAGAGAAAAGAATTTAAGCACCGATTTATAGTGGGGGTGAGCGGTGGTAGTGGTGGTGGTGGGAGATGATGATGGTTGTAATGGGTGGTGATAATCGTGGTGATAATAACAGTCGTGGGTGAAAGTGGTGATGGTAGTGGTGGCTTTTGGGTGACGATAGTGGTAGTGGCTTTTGGGTGACGGCAGTGGTGGTGGTGGGCGACAGTGATGGTGTTTTGCAGTGGTGATGGTAGGGCGACTACGGTAATGGTGTCGGAGGTGGGTTGTGATGGTGGAGTGACGACTGGTGTTTCTAGGCGATAGTGTGATGAGTGGTAGCAAATGAACAGTGGTGGTGGTTAGGTGTGGTGGGGGTGGGTGATAGTGGGTGACAACAGTGGTGGGCGATGACGAATGGTAGTGGTTGGTGTGGTGGGTTAGGTGATAGTGACTAGCAGCAATGGTGGGCAACGATGTGTGGTGGTGGACTGTGGTAGTGGGCAACAAAGGTGAACTCGACAGCGGTAGTGAGATGATGGTGATAATTATAATAAATATAAGAATGAAATGACGATAATGGTAGGTGGTGAAGGTGGACGATGGTGGGTGACAAAGGTGGTGGTGGGACAGTGGAGGTGGGGGTGG